CCTTCTTAATACTGAAATGAATCACAAACACACTTTAAAGGTTGTTTAAAGTGTGTTTTCAAAGTAGCTAGCTTACAGAATTGAACAAAGATCATTGTTGAAAGCCCTCTGAGTACAACCCATATTGAGGAAATGGTAAAGCTTTTGCATATTAATTAGTTATCTGTTAAGCATATGCCAAAGCTGTTTGAACTGGATCTCTTGATTCATTAGTTGAGGCAGTATAGCAAGTTGGTTCACTATTGTATATACAGTGGAATTTCACTTAACAAGCACCTCTCATAATAAGTAATTTGCATAATGAGCAAGGCAAATAGTAAAAAAATAACTCACTTAACAAGTGAAGTTTCACATAACGAGTGAAGAGGAGAGGGGAAGTCCTGGATTGTGCACATGCTACATCAGTCTGTGTTTAGCACTTGTTCCGCTAGCATCTTAGTGTCGCTTATGATCACACATTTTTCCAAACTTGTGTTCAGACATATTACATATAAACATCAACAACCATAGCCCATTATATAATAAACATACCAAATGATATGCCAAATTCTTAGGCTATGTAAGACTATAATTAAATATTAGAAATTACTGTATTTTGATTTTTTTTTTGTTTTCTGCGAATTGAATTTGCATTCCAGGTCGGTTCATTTTGTGCTAGAAGATGAAGATGATTGATGCTTCTTAACAATGTATATTGTATAATTTTCTTTGAATTTTCTTTAAAGGTTATACATAAAATGTTTGAGTATTTTTTGGCATGGAAAGCATTATTGTATTTTACATTAATTTATATTGGAAAAATTGTTTTGCTTAACGAGTGTTTCACTTTACAAGTGACATTCTGGAACGAATTATGCTTGTTAAGTGAGGTTCCACTGTTCTTCATTGATGGAGCTACAAAAAGTTGATTGGTGTGATAAACACAAAGGATGAAAAATAGATTTATGATAATATTGTATAATAAAGATCATAGTGTAAAGATGATGACTCATCAAAAAATATGACTATTTTATGTTCAGAAGTTGAAATGTTCAGTCTAATAGGCTTACAAGGATATCATCTGTTGTAAGCTATTAGACCATATGTGAATCAGACTTTGAATATCCAGGGCTGATAAAATTTTTTATTTTTATGGGCACCAGCCAAAATATCTATGAGCCAGCTAATTCTGACATCTTGAGTTATTTGAAGATTGTTTCACTGGATTATTTACTTATAAATTATTAAACAATAATTAAAATTTTATATTTGTGTTTTTAAATTAAACAGATCTTAAATTGTACAATTACACAGGGAAATTTATCATCTCTGATATTTATTACTGTATGAGCAGTACAGCTCAAATGAAGAATTAAAGGAAAAACTGCCTTTTTTTGCATTAAGACAAAACAAGATTTATTGGTACCAAATCTATCTTCCTTAGATTTTTATGTTGACTTTCTGAACAATTTCAATTTTGGTAGGAAGTTTCAGAATGACATTGAATGCATTGTTATTACAAGTTTCTTAGCATATACAAATTTGCAGACTATTGGAAAATATCATCACTAATTATGGCAGTTATGTTCTTCATTAAATAAATATTGATTACTCTTGGGTATGCTAATTGATGTATATCTTGTGTTTTTTCCCATTACTTTTACATCAATTCAATACAAACACAGACATAAAACAAATATAAAATGTTAGAATAATTGTCTTTAAATAACATAGAAAGTTTTAGCAAATCTTAATAAATTTTTAAAAGAAAAAGTATTTTGATTTTATCTTTAAAATTAACAGACATTCAAATTTTTATTTTTCTGTGATTGTGTTTTATCAATGAAACAACGAGATTCACTTGAAGCAGGACTCAGGAGGAGGCCAAAAACATTTGTGTAGTATACATATTACCAACACCAGACAATAGGTTTATAATGTGATTTATCTTTAAAATTGATAGTAAAATTATTAATTTTCAATTGAAAGTAAACATTGAATGCAAGCCAATACAATATGGCAGTTTAAAAGTTATGCTGAAGTTATATGTTATGAGTTTTTGTGCAAATTTACAATAGATTATTATAAATTTGCACAAATAAGAGTTTATTATTATTAATAATAATAATAAACTTCTTGGTCTTATTTTAAATTTAATTAATTAATGTGCTTTCTCACCACACCGGATTGTATATACTCCAACTATTTTCGCACCGGTTACTGGTTAATTGTAGATAGTTGGAGTATAAATTTAATTAAACTTCATTATTAATTAATGTAAAAACAACTGCCAAGTTCTTTAAAAATAACAAAAAACAAACCTTTGTTAGAGTTCAATTTTATTTACAAATTACTCTAGCACTTTTGGACAACTAGGTCCATTGTCAGGAGATATATGTCTTCTGATAATGGACTTGGTTGTCCAAAAGTGCTGTTGATTTTCTATTGATTTTCTGACCAACAAAAAATAAAATAAATATATTAAATTATAAAAAAATGAGAAATTTGCTTTAATTAATTAAAAACCTAGAAATATATATACAAGGGCAAGGTGAAAAGTTCTCAGCCTAGTAGTGAAAAAATGAGTGTTTTATTTTAAAAATGCATTTATTTCTCAATGTAGTCTCCGTTTAGTTCAATACACTTTGCCCAATGTTTCTTCAATAACTGGATTCCATCCCTGAAGTGCGATTCTGGAAGGTCTTCAAAATATCCATTTACTACTGCTATCACCTCTTCACTTGACCCAATATGTTTTCTACCCAAAAATTTCTTAAGATTTGGGAATAGATGAAAGTCAGAGGCAGCCAAATCTGGCGAATAGGGAGAATGTTCCAACAATTTATACTTCAAATCCCTCAATTTTACCATTGCCAAAGCACCTTTGTGAGCAGGTGCATTGTCCTGGTGAAAGAGGATTTTTTTCTTTTGCAAACCATGCCTTTTCTCTCTAATTTTTTCATCTAGCTGGTCAAGAAGATGTACATAGTATTCCCCATTAATTGTTTGACCCTTTGACAGGTAGTCAATTAAAAGAATACCTTTGGAATCCCAAAAATCACTAGCCATAACCTTTCCAGCTGATGCAATTGTCTTTGCTTTCTTTGGTGCAGAGCCACCGGGTTCTACCACTGCTTGGACTGTTGTTTTACTCAGGTGTAAAGTGGTAAACCCATGTTTCATCAAAACAAAGAATTTTATGACGGAACAGTATTCAAGTTTATTCATTTTGTCAAAAACAGCTGTACTATTTACTTTAAACAGCTGTATAAAAAACAAACTATTTGTCTGATCAAATTCACATTTGGTATTTACTTTTGCAACAAGTTTGCCACCATAACAAAACAGTAATTTCATTTGTAGCAGTGCCATCTATGGGCTAGGCCGAGAACTTTTCACCTTGCCCTCGTAATATATAATTAATTGTTTTAATAAAATTTATTTAATAATAATAATAAAAATATTATTGAATTAAATTCAATAATATAATTAAAAGATTATACAAATCATAAATCTGGTAAAAATGTACACCGACTACCAAAAATTCTAGAATTTGTCAATTTTTCAAAACAATTTCAATTTCAAAAAAGGACATATTTCTTATCAAGTAAAATTTAAGAAAACCCAGTGTAACTTAAAATACAAGTGTTATCACTGTTATAATTGCAGATAACAATTGTATCATGTTAAATACCGATTAAATTTTGTGATAACACAATCACGACTGAATCACAAAAAAGTTTACTTAAAAATAAGTACCTAAATAATGATCAAATTATTTCTGGTTTAGATTAAAAGAAATTATATAAAAGAAGAGATTAATGAATTAATAATTCATTTCAACAAATGATCTTTATAAACAACACTTTTCATAAACTGAAACAAAAAAAAATCTATTTAATGTTTTCATAAAGGATTGAAAAATGGCTGAAATGATTCTAATAAAAATAAAAAAGCAATGTAACCAACCAACTCTCTAATTAAGGAGCATCTAGAATTAGCTATCATACCAATAATAGTTTATTCACTTCAACTTTGTTCTATTTGATAGATTCCCTAAAGATGAAGTTTCCACAATAGAGGGATTAAAGTAACACAAAATTAAAAATTGTTTTTTTTTTTGTTTCTCTATTTTTAACCTTGATAAATGTAAGATTTAAATATAAATATTTTGAAAAACTCTATTAGATTACATAATCATTACTTTGAATTTTAACAACTCAGTATTTCATTTGCAAATGTATTATATCTCATCAAAATTGAAATTTTGGTGTTTAGTATATTTACAGCATAGTAATAATAATAATAATTTGTTTTAAGTTACTATTTTTTTTTATTTTCAATTCTTTTTGTTCTGTGGACTCTAAGAAGAGTCAATCAAGTCAATCATGGTTTCAGGTAGGCCTCAATGAAAGTGACCAGTTGGTGAAGGGCAAGACCCAGGACAGACTGCCCATGGAAAATTTGAGAGGCTGCTGACCCAGTCTTGAACATAGGACTTGCCAGAACAGTAGGCTGATACCTTACCTCTTCAGTCATCTTGGTCATCATTCATGCTAAGCAAGAAGGATACATCTATCCAAACAATGCTTGATAAAAGATTTTTCCAGATCCATTTTCACTTGTTTTGTAACTCATTTCATTAATAAAATTTTTTTAGCCTACTTGCTTTTCATTATACTTTATATTTCTAAATATGTAGTTAAAATATAGTTAAAAGGTCAAAATTAAGTCTTTTGACAAATATTCCAAAATATCATGGATAAATTTTATAATTTTTCTCATTTCTTTTAAACCTCAAATTTAAAATGTATATACAGGTAACCCCCGTATAACACGGCACTTCTATAGCACGAATTCGCTCTAACACGGTTCGAGAATTGGTACCATCTCCCGTATAACACGGTACTTTTATAGCACGGATTCACTCTAACACGATTCGAGAATTGGTACCATCCCCCGTATAACACGGTACTTTTATAGCACGGATTCACTCTGACACGGTTTGAGAAATGGGTAAAACCCTCGTACAACATGAAATGTAATAAATTTTTACATACTTAAGTACTAATAGTTCACGAAAATTATTATTATCATCAACTATTAGTACTTCAGTGTGTAAATTTTCTTTTCTTGTCTCCATACACATGGTCCTTTGCGAAAATTGTTTCAATTTTGCCAGATCTCAACGCTTTTGCTTCTGGTGTTGCCAGATGTTTTTCCGTTATTCTATAAGTGCTTAGCACCATATAAGGAAAATTATAAAGATCTTTTAACCAGAAGCAAGCAATCTAAAATTACATACACTTTTTGCAAAAGGTAAAGCATGAATCTGAAAATAATGCAGAAAAATGCTGGGAGGATAACGATAACTTGCCAAAAATAAAACGCTCTCGGTTAATAGTGCTTTTAGTGATGACAAAGAAAACATTGTTTAATTTATATTAATATGTATCACTTAAGAAAATTTTAATAAAGATATTTATCTTAATTATGAAAATATAGTAGCATGTTTTTTAATTTTTGGAACCTAACCCTCCTTTTCGTACTAGTTCTTTGTTTCGCATAACACAAATTCACATAACACGGCAATTTTTTGGAACGTAACTACCGTGTTATACGGGGGTTACCTATATAACACGGTACACCATACGGGGGAGTAACCTGTATAACACATATACACACATCATATTTTCACAAAATTACCAGCATGCAAGTCTATCTGGGAAGATCATGAAATCAGATATTTCCATATGATAAAAACCAGTATGCTGCTTTAAATTTTACCTTTGCAAGTACTCTTTGTGAAATAATCAGAAAAAGAAATTTCTGTTATCAATATATTAACTTTTTACATGTATATATAAAAAAAAAATTGAAGTATATCTGATATATGAAAAATATTTATAGTGAAAAACAAACTATTCAAAAGTTGATATCATTCTATTAAGGTATTTTTATAATGTATAAATTATAACAGATTAAATAAATCAATATTTAATTAAATATTCTTATATGAAGAATCAAACTATTCTAAATTTAGACTGCCTCCAATTCTGTTTATTGTGTAAGAATCAAATCATGCATTAACAAAAAACATTTATAAATTTCATTATAATCAATTTTTAAAATTTACTAACTTGTCTTTCAGTTGCTTCAGTACATCTAATATTTCGGCGATTGCCATTATTAGTATTACTACAGGTACTTAATGTTCCTGGTGGAGATAAGTGCTGATTATTATCGTTATATAAGATATGAGTTCTGCCTTTGTTTTCGTCATCAGGAGAAATGTGTCTTGATGTAGTTGAATCTATTTTAGGACGATTAGTATGACATAATATACACTGAAAATAAAATTAGAATTTAATTGAAATATTTGTAAAGATCACTGTTAATGAAAATATACAGAAAATTTAACGATGATATAATCAAAGACTTGCAATTAACTATTCTAAAACAACACTTACAACTTTAGCAAAACAGCAAAACAATTACAAACAAATTATATTTTTAAAATTTATTTAGATTATAAAATAAGTTTTAAAAAACAGAAACTAAAGTAAATATAGACTTTATACCAACTTATAATCACTTTAAACCAAACTTATCAATTACATTTAAAATGATCATATTTAGATTCAAGATTTAAAAAAAAAGCAAACTAAAGAACAACTCATAAGATCTAAATAATACTTTCCTATATACAGAAAATAGCAGCTGAATTTCGATATAAACTCAGGATCATTGAAAAAAATTATAAAATGTTAGTTCACTCTATTCCAAGATAATAATCCGTATGAAAAAATAAAAAAAGACCTAACAAAAATAGTTAAAGATATGTATTTGAATAATAAAATTAATCAAATTGATAAAAATAATATACTTAATTTTAGAAATAATAGAATCTCAACACTAAATATACAGTTAAAAACATAAAAAAGAAGATAAATACAGACCCATAGTAGACTTCAGGTACTCTATATTGTACAATTTAGAAAATTATATTAAAAAAACAATTAAAAAATATTGAGGGGTCCAAAAATAGTATAAAAAATGCTGATGAAGTTATTAATATAATTCAAAAAAGAAAAAAAGAAAAAACAGATACATTAATAAGTTTAGACATAAAAAATATGTACCCAAACATAAAATGGGAATTAATTGAAAACCGCCTAATCCAATTAAAAACAAACCAAACATTAATTGACCTTATAAAATTTGCTTATAAAACAAATTATTTTGAAGCTTGTAACAATTTTTATACACAAACAGATGGCATTAGTATGGGGTCAAAATTGGGGCCAAAATTAGCTGAACTAGTAATGAAAGATATAGATAAAAAAAATAGAAAACATTCCTGCTATAAAAGCTGTAATGAGATATGTGGATGATTACTTATTGATTTTTAATAATAAAATAACAGATGAGAAGATAATTTTAAATACAATAAATAATATAAACCAAGATATAAAATTTGATATAGAATTAGAAAAATATAATGAAATTAATTTTTTGAATATCACTATAACAAAAGAAAAAGAAATTTTTATTTAAAACATATAAAAAACCATCAAATGTTAATAAGACGATCAATTATTACTCACATACCCCAATAGCTATTAAAAAGAATACATATATAATGGAATTAAAAAAGATATACAAAAGAACAACCAACAAAAATGAACACGTAATAGAATTAAACGAATTAGATCATAAATTCATCCTCAATAGTTATCCAAAAAAAATGTTAAAAATTTGGCACACACAATATTACAAAAACAGATTTAATATAAAAAATAAAAAAGNATGGAAGAAACCTTTCAAACAGCCGTAGTCCGTAAACTGCATAAGTGCCAGGCTGTGATTGGCTGGACTCCTAGAAGCTGGATTCATAAAAACAGGTACATATCTACCGTGTTATAGGGGGGTCGACTGTAGATGGATATAAACATTCATGATGTGGCAAAGATGAGAAGAGAATCTTTTTTGCTAGCTTTGCTAGAGCACAACTTGTGATTGTGATGATTTCTTGCTATTATTACTACTGCTGTTGTTATTACTATTATTAATTGATGATTTTTGTCTTCTTGACTTATTGATTATTAATACAATTGCTTTTTTGGAGAATTTATTACTAGCATAGTTATTTTTATATAATTAATTCTTGTACCTGTAACTTATTATTTATAAAATACTCATTGTCTTTTTTTTTTGTACACTTTATTTAATGCATTGTACTTTAATAAGCTAATCTTTATTCAATTTTTAATTTTGTATCTTAACTTTATTCCGAAAATTTTAAATTTTTTCAATGCATTCCAATTTAGAATACTGTTGACCTGAAGCAGATCTTGTGTAAGATCAAATACATTTGTCAAATTTACATTAAATTATTCACTGGGATAATCAAGGTTTTGATTTTTGTACATGGTTTGTTAATAATATATGTTTTTAAAACACATTTAACATCTAAGGATACACTCCTTCCCAAATTAGTCTATTAAATCAAGAACTTACTGCAGGATATTTTAATATTTAATAAAATAAATATAATTAACAGAGCTTGAAAATTCATTCAAAAATGTAAGAGTATGTGTAAATTATCTAAATTCATTTTACCAGCTCTAGGAAATCTGAATTCCTCCACATCATGTTCATCACAGTAAGAAGGAAGGTGTAAGATTTCTACATCACTTTCGTCAACTTCTTCATATAAAATGCGATATATATTTTCCTCATCTAAATCAAAATATTATTATAAAATAAACAAATGAAATCAAAAAATATGCTTTGAAAATCAAGTTCAGTATGATAATAATTACTTGGATAATGAACTGGCTGCCACCAGTATCCACTATACCGATTAAACTCTTCTTGGATGACATAAGAAGGAATACCAGCACTAATGGGATCAGTAGATAAACTGTTTGATCCTAAAATAAATCAATAATTAATATATTTGAAAAGAAAGTTTTAACAGATAACAATGTCTTACTTTTACCTTTTCTTGCATATGTTAATCTAACTTCAGTCAATGTTTTTATATGATACAACCAAAGGTCACTGTTATAAATATAAGCTACCAAATCTGGATTTTGAGGGCACATGTGATGATTAAGTCTTGCTCCCGATACATTGCTTCGAAGTTCTTGAGGAAAATATGGAGGAGATTTGCACTGAAATTTTGTTTTTTTGTTTTAAATATATATTTAAATTTTAGTATATTATATGTATAAAATTTAAATAAATACCTGAGTGTTGTTATCATCACAATAAAATATCGAACCGCACGCAGGGAAAATAAATCTACCAATTCCATTATGTAGATCATAAGCAGTTATTCCCCACATGACGAGTCTCTTTCTTTCCCATTGGAGCTGCTCTTCTCGTGAAAATTGGCCTAACGGATGCAATACTTGAAAAGTTGATTCAAGCAATGGCTGCCAAGAAAAACTAGTATTTTCTTGAGTGGAAGAATTATGCATAGGTATATCAGCGTAGAGTAATGTTGTCTCTCGACCGCCAGAGAGAGTACCAAGAAAATAAATGCGCGTTATCACCTGGCCATTTTCATTTTCGATGAGTCTGAAGGATAACGCACTGGGTATTTTAGCCGATATGCTGGAAAAATGGCGTCTCATGTTACGAACAACCTGGCGCAATTCGTGCCATGATTTTTGTTTTCTCAGAGTGTTATTTTTCTGTTTGTCCTCCCCATTACCTTCTTGGTCCATATCTGAAAAATAATTTACAACACAATAATATAATAAGAACCTTTTATAAAATTACATATATCTATAAATATACATTAAAACTATAAATAGATTTCTGTTGAATTTTAGCATGCCTTCCACAGCTAAAAGTTAATATTTGCTTGATCAATATAGTCAAAATTATGTCAACAATGATTAAATATCATATCTGTACAGTACAACAATAATGCAAATGTACTAAACATACCACAAACTCAATTCTGCACAGTATAATTAATGGATCTGAAATAATTATAGATATGTCTCTATATCTAGTTTTAACTTAATGTCATAATTATTATTCATATATTAAATTATCTGCTGTGAGGCTATGTACATAAAAGAACCATTCATCATAAATTTCTGTCAAATTATTCACATTTCCATAAAGCCAACACTTTGAAAATGTGAAGAATGAAGAAATAATTTTTAGCATTTATTTTATTTTTCATACAAATACAATTTTTATCTGTTATCTATGTTATATCTCTTGACCCAAACTTACATATCCTGTCAAGGAGTAATTATATCTAAATATACAATAATAATTATTTAGCTTTAATACTGAATTTAATTTATTTTCCAAAAATACAATTTTAACTACAATGACATTCTGTTAACCTGTCATTGCTGGGAACAACATGGTGCCGAATTATCAGATGTGCTGCCTAATTGGACAATGAAAGTTTACTCAGTTTTTTCAGTCCCAAGGACACAGTTTTACATATCTACACTTGTAGAACTGTACAAATCTGCCTTTTATGATTGTTTAATGTCAATTTTCCAGGCTATTCCTAAGCTTTGCTGGCTTGAAACAAGAATGCTCTATTCTTACTTTGTTTTGTACACTTTTACTGGGTATAAATACAGATGTACTCTAATTATCAAAGTATATGAACATTAATGTACTGTAACTGTTTTCATGATAATTATTGATTCCAAGTATGCTAAATATTTCTTCTTCTCATATCATACCTGTGCACTAATGTCTTTGAAAAGGTGCTTAGAAAAAAATGCACAAACTAACTAGTTTTATGTAGTACAGCATCATGCCATCTTGACATTTGTTGTCTCTAAAAAGAGAACACACATCCATTTCCAAGAACTACATGTTTTGAGTGCTTTTACATGAAAATCTTAAATCTGGACCTACCTAGTGCACCAATAAACCCAACAACAAGCATTTCTTATGGTCATAACAGATAATTTATAGTAGTTGTGAAAGAGGAGAATAAATTCTTGGAATTGCATGGCACCTGCGACATTGCAGCACATATTTGTTCAACATTTCTTATATTTAAAACTTTGTAAAAAAATCTGAAATTTCCACTTTTCCAACTTTTCAACCCAGATGATATGCAACTGACACACTTTTTTGGTACACAAATACTATACAAGAAAAAAATGATGCCACATGATTGTTTATGTGAAGACTGGATGAGATGGAAATTTTAATTAATTACAACAAAACATATCAAATTTGTTTAGAATAACACTTAAATTTCATATTCTATAAAGAAAAAACTTTTTCCAACACTTAATAAAAAAAATGGAAGGATGCGATCACATCTTTCCCTCGATTTACTTCCTTTCAAAAGGTGACATATCTTCCAAATGTATGTGTCACCAGGAACTTTCATCCAAAATTCACCTATTGGTCAAAAACTTAACATTACCTAAAAAGGGCATCAAAATCAAGGGGAGGACCCCAAAATAAAAGACGAACATCAGAACCAACACAGAAAGTTTGCCGACGTCTCCTCCTTTCCGTGTGAGTGTTCCATCACTGATCCCTTCGACTGCCCTTTGCCATAGACACCTTAGAAACAAACATTTGATTGTGAACTGTATCATCAAGCAGCCTAACTCTATCCAACCAAGAAACTTCTCCATCCTGTCATCAGGATGTTTTGCGAATTCAAGACTACAATCAAGCCGATTTGACCAATCAAGATATTTAGCATCGTGTGTAAGAATGTAAGCTCTCTCTCTTGACTAGGAACCTGTTAACTTCAATACAGTAATACCCCGACTTACGCGATTTTCAAATCTCGCCGATTCGTCTTTTGTTTGAGCACCACAAACCCTTGATTACTCACTCCCCCCACACTATTGTTCAGCTTACACGTTCCTCACTCCCCCCACACTATTGTTCAGCTTACACGTTCCTCACTCCCCCCACACTATTGTTCAGCTTACACGTTCGGATGTGTCGCATTGAATCCACACATAGCTACAATTTATTTTGTGTTATTTATTTCTGTGTTTGTTATATCTACGGAGACTCGAGAGACTCTACTGTGTCATCCAAACGAAGTAAAACTAATTCTTCCGTATCAAACAAGAAAAGAAAAACTTTATCTTTCGAATGTAAAGTTAACATTGGGTATGTTCGTAAAGTCCAAAGAGTTAAGCGAGAATGAAGTCATCGTTATTCCTATTTTGTTAGACTTTTCGAACAATTCGTTACTAACGCGTTTAACTCGTTTGACTTTACGAACGTACCCATTATTAAAGACTTCGATACAAAAATGAAAATTTGTGAATTGGCAAAGAAGTTTCATCTACCGGAATTGTCGGTCAGAACAATTATAAAAGGCAAAGAAAAAATTCTCAAAGCTGTGAAAAATGCTCAATCTTTAAATTCATGCATCATTCGTAAACGTCACAGTATTATCGCTGAGATGGAAACAATGTTAAAATTATGGCGTAATAATCAAGTAAATGTGAAAAATTATAAAATAATATAGGCCTAATTTGTTATACATACAAGGTCTGTTCAAAAAGTATCGGACCTTATTTTTTTCCGCGTAAACCAATGATGCGAGAGAGGCCTCCTTCGGTGGAGTTGTGGAGGGGACAGTCATGCACAGCCCTGAATTTTTTCCCGCCTGCAGGAAGCGTCAGTCGTTGGCAATCGGCNGACCTGAAAGACCATTGAGTATTCAACAAAGTAACATGGCAGCTTCCATGAAAAAGTAAATTTCACTTATAGAAACTATCCATTCGCTGCTGTGGATGCTGTAATAGCGGATAGATTAACGAACAATCTGTATATGATAAAACATGTGATTGCACGATTATGTTGGATAATTTGGTCAATACTGAAATATTAAGTTTTTTTTAATTTGTCCAAAATTGATTATGACTGCTATTTGGCCCTCTAAGTCTTCCTAATGATATAAATATTCAAGAAATTAATTAAAATTATTAAAGAAAGACCCAGTATACAAGAAAATAATACAGATATGGGTTCATTTGAATAAAAGGATTTATTCGAATAATGGTTAAGCGAGTTACTTTAATTATTTAGCAAAACAGTCACAATCGCCACCTTCTTGTTACTTAAGTCAGCCATCTTGAAAAGCAACCTCTCAACAAAAATGTTTCTTTTTTCTGCAAAACATGACATCAGATTGTTCAACGGAGGGACTCAACGAAAAATTCACTGTTGAGTCAACCACTGAATATAGAAACGTACTGAAACTAAAGTTCTTGAATATAATATTTTAAAACCAATAATCCAGCAATAAAAATTGAACTTCAATGCTTAAATGAATGTTTTCTACCATTTTCAATGGTCATCTTCAGATTACATAATAGAAGATTGAACATAGAATGTAAGATATAAATTTAAAATCAGTAATAGCAACAAACACTCCTGGGGAGGTGGATCCTATATATCCTATATTTATGAAAACAGGATAAATTCAGAGTAAATAATCCAAGCTGGATTTCCTTCTAAGCTGTCATTCATTCCAAATTTAGCCTGCTCCCATATATAGAATCCATCTCCCTACAAAGTGTTCATCACTACTACCACTTTAAAATTTATATCTTATGTTCTATGTTTGATCTTCTATTATGTAACCTGACAATGCCATTGAAAGTGGCTGAAAAATTTAAGTATTAAAGTTCACTTTTTGTTGCTGGATTATTGGTTTTAGTTATATTTGCATCAAGCTTACTTTGGTGTTTTTTAAAGTTCCTGAAAGTGGAGAAAGGCAATTTTTCAGAAAAGATGTTTATTCAACAGACTGGTTTCTTTGAAATATATATATATATCAGTATATATTTTATATTGTAGATGGAACTGCTATAAGTAAAGAATTAATTACAGGAAATCCTCATTAGTTTAAAATTCAGGGGAGAAAATATTTGCAACTTCGAATTATCCAAGATTTACATATTTCTGTATAATATGCCAAATGCCATGTAACTAATGTAATTTATTAAGCAAAAGGAATAAGGCTATGTATACAGAATGCTATTTTCATTAATTAATAATTAATAATAATAATATAAATAAACTGCAGGTAAACAGCAAGTATCTAGTGAGAACTCACATGTTGCCAGATAGGTTTTTATAAAAAGTAAACCAGAATTTTTCAAAATCTAGCTCAAATTATTTTTTAAGTGGCTCAGAAAGTAGTAGCCTAGAACCCTACAAATATCTCAATCTGCTACTGGTAGCCCTATCTTGCAATCCTAAAAACAAGCTGTATTTTATGATAAGACAAAGAAGGGTATTCCATGAGTAAGATAACAGCAGGAAATGTTACAATAAAAGCAGAGTCATATTGGCCAGATTACAGTCGTTTTTGGTCTATTGTTCTCTTAAAATATGGAGTCATTTCAATCTAAATAAATGAGTTAACTTATGCATATCAGATTTTCACTTGGAATTTTGAAGTAGCTGTATTTTGAACTAACTGAATTCCTTAACAAGTAAATCTTTATCCCCAGCCAGGACAAACATACAGTTACAAACTAATGGGATTTCAAACTATCTGAGTTTAAATTAAAGAGGATTTCCTGTAACAGATAGTATTAATTAGTTCTTTATTNTGAAACGACACTTTGAAATGTTTTCCCGATGAAAATTAATAATAATAATAAGTTTCAATAAAAATAATAAAATGTAAATTGAATTTTATCATAACGAGTTTGCTTGAATTTCCTTTCTTCTGAGATCGCAGCAATGCACAACGGGTAAGCTAGTTTGT